ACAATAAAATTGCATCTTTCAGAATGGCTGTGATAAAGCTATTTAAAAAAGATTTTAGTCCTGAATACGTATTTTTAACTGAAATTTTCACAAGTAACTTATTACTTTGGACTTTCAAATCAAAACAGTCGGATTTGCAAGAGCATGGAACCTAATCTACGTGGGCTCGTTTTTATATTCGCAGACTAGGCTGTTTCGAATTTTAATGCCATTTCTCATTATGTTGTTTTTTAATCACATAAGCCTTGGTAATTTACAAAACAATTGCAACATTATTAATTTTATTGATGTCGTGGCACAATGTGAAGGACTCCAGCTCGCCCAAGAAGTTTAAAGTCACCCCTTCTGCAGGAAAAATAATGGCAACCATTTTTTGGGACTCTCTGGCAATTTTACTGATTGATTTTATGAATAAGGGTACAGTGCGGTAACGGGAGATTGTTATGCAAAGCTGAATGTATCGCCTTAGAGATGCTATTAAAGTAAAAGACGCGGAAAACTGACGCAAGGTGCCTTGTTGCTTCACAAGTGCACGAGTTCGGACTCTCAAAAGCTGCTGTGCCTGATTGTGGCTTCGAAGACATTAAATATACACCTTACAGTCCCAAAAAAACACCAAGGGGGACCAAATTTATGGACAGCTGTTAAGGAAAAACCAAATGAAGATTTCTATACTGGATTAAAGATGTTATTAAAACGGTGTTACACCTGTATTCAAAATCAGGGGTACTAAATTGAAAAATATAGTGTTGTCCCTCTCGTTTTTGGTTTTCATGCTTAGTCCGGGAATATAAAAAGGACCCCTCGTATGATGTGACTGTAAATTTACATCATAGGTACGAGACAGATTTATTTGCTTGCTTCATCAGTGGTATGGTATGAGCAGACAAACGTTATGAGGGAAAAGAACAGATTGACCTGACGGTCCGCGGAAAAGGATCGAGCTTTTAAGCTTTCGATAGCCGTATTATCTCAGTTTTCTTCTGAATGAATGTAAAATCATTGCGTATTCTTGGCACTGGGGGTTCGAATTCTTTTCACCATCTTGAAAAATGAGGTAAACATTTTGTAAAATTATACAAAATCGGAGGGGGTTTCGGTTTACTGAAATATAGATTAAATACATCGTTGAATAAAAAAGCGATTTTTGAAACTTTGCAATTTTACTAACCCGCATTTTTGAATAATAAGGAACAGGTTTTCAATTTTTCAAAGATGATTAGACCTTTGTGTTTCGTTTCCTCTTTTGCTTTACGACAGTGAGACATGTCAACCGAGATAACACGTTGCTAACAGGTATACTATAAGTAGCATTGACATAGGTACTTGTCCTATTAGTCAAATGCTATAAAATTGAATTTAGGGACAAAGGTGGTTAATCGCGATGTAAATGGCTTAGTTGTGGAAAATAATTGAACTCAATTTTACTTTTATTGTTTCCAAAAGTTGTAAACAGTTACAATTTGTAAGAAAGTCAAAATGACATATTTCATTAAATAATTCAAAATATTGTAAATGATTTAAAATAAGAACCTAACACATGTCTGTCAAATTTAATTGGGAATCATTGAAAAACTCCTTCAGGATGGTAGAATTTTATGCATCTACTTCTAATTGGAAAAATTTGGTCATCCACCATTTTTTCTATTAGGCGACATTTTATACATTAAAATTCGATACCAACCCACCTGTAAACCCATCATTCGTTACTACTTTAACTTATACATACGCATATAAAAATTATATCACAAAATATTGGGTTACACTTACTTTATATAGATAATTATTTAAATATATAATATTTCATCTACAACTATAACAAGAAACTTGGACAAGCGATATAAACTAGGTTTTATATTTAGGATACATGGAAGTGGCCCCTTTGTATATATAATATAAATCTACTAGCTCAATCTAGATATACTAGATTTTTATTGCTCCTATTAGAAATTTTACGCTTACAACTGTTATATATAACTTTCATTAATTTGAATTATTAATCTTTTAACATTTATATAAGTATGTGTAGTAGAATAAGATATGTGATTATGAGAACGTTTTGTCTTTTTTATTCATAATTTTTAGTTGTTTGTATATTGTTTAAGCAAGTTTGGAAAACATTCGCGCTTTTAACATAGTAAGAGTTTATATAGCACCATTTAAAACGACATTTATACCTACTACAAGTTTATAACATCATATAAATTCACATATGGAGTAGCAATTATAACACAGGATATTCTCTCCCATTATCTGATAAATTCATCCAACTTTTGTTAGCTTATATTACGAAACTGTTCAAATTACGCTCGAAATTGGTAGGTATATAAAGATAGACTTAATTCTATATTGATTTTATGTTCCTCTTAAATAACTTAGGAAACAAATCAAATCACAATGCGAGAAGATTCCCAGATTTTTGACTTTTATCCAACAGATTGGCTGGGAAATGATTAAAAACACCAAACCGTTTAAAATAAATTTAATTCTACTTTCTAGCAAGTCGATTACTCAACACAGGCGATTTTCCTAGAGTATTAATAATATTCGAAGAGGAATTCGGAGAGCTAGGTGGAGAAGTATTGGTTATTGTCACTGTTACATTAGACGCTTTTGGACTCGACAGTAACGGCGAATCTATATTATTTTCTACGACGTTATGCACGGGAGACCCAAATAACGACGAATGCAGATCGTCTTTGAGCGAGGGTGACGCACAAACTTCATTCTGCACCAGACCATTACCTTCCTTTTTATCGGAAAGGTGATTGGGAGATGTTTTCACATTTACTTTGGACAACTCCGTTGAGAAAGTTCTAAACTCCCCTCCCTGTTGTTCGGGATCTACCATACGGAACGTTTCCAGAAATTCGTTAAGGTCTACTAAGCCATCTTTGTTCATATCCATCAGTCGGCACATGTCCAACAGTTGGTCGTGGCTAATTGGATTCGGCATGTGTTCTCGAATTAAGTTGCATGCGTCCGAAAACTCTTCTAAACTGATGAAACCTGAAAATTAGAACGAGATGATAAAGTGCAAGACAAACTGGAATCTAGTTCATCAAATTTCTCAAATGTTTGCTATGGTACTCAATTAATTGTCTAGGGTGAGGCAGCAGACCTTGATTTAATTCCTTTGCGATCAAACAGTTCGTGCGATAGATAAATGATATTTGTAATTCTTGCTGCGCTGTTGAGTTTTTGGGCATTAGTTCTTGTGTACACTTTCACAAAACAATTCGTTGTATTATACATTTTGATGCAATGTTTTAAATTATCTCACTTCTCACTTGCGGCCGGTTGCAGGAAAGCGAATTATAAAAAATCCTACATTATTTGCCAAATCTGAGTTTAAACAAGAATGTCAACATTTGATTGGCTGCATACTGCAGTATAAGGATCCGTGAGGTGCTGAAATGAATCAGTAAAACGCTCAAGAATTCGAAAACTGCGACAACCAAAGTTAGTAACTATAAATATTCCATATAATATCAGTGTGGATTTCTTCTCAGAGACTACAATGTGCTTAATTTGTAATAACGTATGCGCAAATTAGAACCATTATAAATCCATTTCAAGTTTCCCACGATCCCGCATTTGGTCTGAGCTTTACGGGAATGAGCGGCAATGAGAGTTTCCACTCCAACCCCTCTCTGGAGCTCTGCAGGGATGTAAAATATCAGAATCAGGAAACATTTCATCTGCATCGGAAGGGGACCGGTCCATACGACTCTAATTACGGTACCTATTCGTTTAAAAATATTGATTTTAGTTTTGTGGATTTTCGTTTAGGGTATGCTTTCAAAAGGTAAAGTTCAATTTTTTTCAATGTAATGGTAAATTTCATTGCGTGTACCAATGATATTGTTGTCAGTGAAAGCGGTGAATACGTTAAGAGCGTATTTAATTCGTTTATTTTTGTCAGTCTCAAGTCAATACACTTGGGGATTTAGGTGTAACCAAAGTAAACGGGGTGCAAAGGGTGTAAAAATATGAATTTCAAATCACTTCCTTATCACCGCATACTGTGGAATCGTGAGGACTTTCTGTAAGTTCTTTAGGGTAACCTAACCACTCCTGAAACAATGTTAACCGCATAATTAATTGCTCTATTTTTTCAAGTCTGGACTATAAATCGCACACTAATAATTTAATTTAAATCTAAAAGATATTCCATTCCAGAAAAATCAGTCCCATTCGCCACAACGGCGCAAGTGGGGTGGAAAATGTTAAACGAGAGCATTCTTTGCTGGGGATTAGATGGACGTGTGAATATTATAGTTAAGATTAATGGACGATGAAAGGAAGGTTTGAAAAAGTCGCAAAGATGAAACAATCTGCGCGTAGGTCATTACGTTCATCGTTAGTAGCTAATAGATGGGTCAACAGTAAACGATGCAATTTATTAAGCTAAAATGTTAAAAATGAGAATTTGCTTCATTTCGGTAATTGCAAACCATTCGATTAATAAATTGCATTATCAGTGATGGGATGTAATGGAGTGTACAGTTAGTCAAAGCATACGATGAAATGTAAACAAATCGCATGTTTATCCCGTTAGGTAAATTACGCCTGACGGAAATCGGAAATGCAATTTCCAGCTTTACTGAGTTTATATGATACCGAAATGGATGCAGGAACAGAAAATGTATGGATGATTAGAGAATTTATTGGGTGTTCCAGTGACTCTTTTCCTTATTAATTTATAAGGGGAAGTTAAGAGCGCACCATATACCGCTGATTAATGAACTTGACATGTATTTAATCGCTGGTTTGAGGACGAAGATGCAGCAAATAGGAAAAAACAGCGTGCTTCCACATGCACCCGCCCAAGCGCTTCCTTTACGTCTGCCCGATATTCCCACAAAGCTATTTTGCGTCTTGCGATGAAGGGTTGCGTTACCTTGTGTTTAAATAGTCGTTGCATACGACGCATCTATTAATCTCGACATTTCCTAGGAAATTCGCCGTGGGTAATTACGCGACGCGCAACCTAATGACGGACAATACAGCTAATCCCATCCCTTGCTGTTTTCGAAACCGCTACCGCTTGATAATTATTCCATCTGCCTTTCGTCCTCAAACGTACCTAAACAAATACCGCACCGCATTGAAATCCAAAACAGCTTCGTAAACTATTATTGAACGGATGTGAACGGGAAATAATTTGAAACCATCAAAAACCTCTAACTCAACAGAATTCACAAATTTAGTACTTGTAGCAAATGGAAATTTTAATTTCCAATTTTCATATTAACTCAAAAGTAATTGCCGTGACCCTGATTTTGCAGTCCGCCGTTTTTTGCCAATTCTAATCAATCTTTCAATTTTACTTATATTATAAATTCACATTCCTCAAAGGATTTTTAATGAAAACGCGAGTGAAATATTTCATGCCGTTTACGAAATTGACGCTCGTGATTTAATAAACCGAATAAAGACGCATAAACATTTTCCACGTCACTTCCACTCCGGCGGTTTCCAAGTGAAGAATAAATCAACTTTGGACATTTGGGGTAGAATAAATAGTTTTGCCAGAGGTTTTTGTAAGAACTTCGTCTCTATTTACCGGATCTGTCTATAATCAATTAATTCGCAAAAAGATCGCCTCAAACTACTTTGTATTGCCGACTATAAGTTCGACAACGGTACTTGCGCCTTGGACGGTCTGAAAATAGATCTCAAAGGTATCAGTGCGTTTTTGTTGGTACTTACAGTAATATCACTATCATTAATTTTATCAAAAGTAGTGGAGTAATTAACCATTTGTGTGTCGGCTTCTAGCGCCACTAATTTTTCCCGTAACATTCGCCATGGCAACCCCAATTCTGTTGCGGTTTCCATTGACTTGCACCATTCGCTTACTGGAATAAAACCTGAAAAATAACATGTGAAAAGTTTGTGTACAACTTTTAAGCACGGATGAGATCATAAAAAGGGCCTTTATTTATTTATGTTGGGCAGCAGTATAGGTGTAAAACACTGAGTAAGCATTCTAGTTTCATTGGAAGCAATTTCCGAATACTTACACTATTGGAATTACGGAAAATCGGTACTGACAGTATTGGAAACTTGAGTATTCCCACACGAGAACATGTTTAAAGTTTGCTATTTTACGTCCAATACACTCCAAATCGATAAAGTTACTTACTTTAAATAACGATATAGGTAAATTGAAAACGGTTGCCGATGAACAGTGACATGTTTAATATCTAAACACGAACAAAACCCTTTCATCTTTTAAATTTCCGCTACTTCGTTGGGCAAAAAAGGCCTATAGCTGTGAGGAGCGAGAAGATACAATCTGTGTCGGGTAACAACCGCACGTACAAAAAGAAGCTGAGTAATAATTCAAAGTATTCCGACTATAGTCGTGATAAATTGAAAGCATATATATTTCTTTTTGTAAAGTAGCATTTTACCTTTGCGACTTCTTTCATTCCAAATTATCTCGACATGCGGTTTCAACTTTTTACTTTAAATTCGTTTCCCTTTACAAATATTTTTTTTCAACTAAAGGGCAAATGTACTAAATGACATGGAAATTGAAGTAGATGAAACGGTAATGGCTTATCTCATATCTGTCATCGGTTTTTTTCCAAAGTTATCATTAGATGTATTTGTTGCGAAGTTGTTTGTTTACGGAGTTCCGTTATTACTTTCTTTTAAACTGTTTTGAGTCTGATTATAGCCTGAGCACGGTAGCGTTAGAACTATCGCTGTTTAAGAAGGTAACTGACGTAGAATTGTTGGCGTGACAGAGTATTAATACAATTTATACAAGCAGTCCCAAATTTTCTGAAAATAGTTTTTCAATGTAGTCATATGAAATTTTTTTTCACCTCTTATTTTTGACAGGGTTTGAACAAATTACTATTTACGAACATATGCCAACTTTAAACGGTCATATCTTACTGAATTCGTATCCTACAGAAAAAAGGGAAATTTTTCAGAAAAGCGAAACCAACAATCTTGTATCCCACAAATGTTGCGTAAATTATAAATTATTAGTGTCTATTTATTTTGAAGAAAAGGCAATTTTTTACTAAGTTAGAATAATGTTTTCAAACAACTTTAAACTGTAAAATTTCTACAGCATATACAGGTATAGGTAAATCAAGTGAATTGTAACTTGGTAAGGATTATTTTCAATTGAGGTATTACCAGTAATTAAGGGGTAATTTTAATTTCTCTGTCACCTAACGAAGTGTCTTAGCTTAGTGTGAATGAAAGTGAAATTTGGGGTTTGTCGGTTTGTAATGATCATGTATTTAAATGACAGTCGACTAGTATAGGTAATATAATAAGAATTACACAAGCTTTGTGAAAGTTGTGTCTTGCATTGAGTGTTTCTTGTCTTGTCTTGCGAAGCCTTCTTGTCTTGCAAAGGTTCTTCTTGTCTTGTCTTGCAAAACCATATGCAAGAACACTTATTGTATTGCGCAAGACAAGACAAGACAAGAAGCAAGAATCTTGCTTCTTGTGAGAATCTCTAAAATCATGCCTAATGATTTCTGCGGCTTTTTGCGCAATCCTGAGTCATTAGTCACTATCCTTGTTCTTTTTTCTTCATGCCAAGCGTCGCGTAGGAATTGTGTGCCGATATCCATAAAACAAAATAAGTAAAAGTTTTGATTTGAATGAAAATAATATAATAATGCACAGTAAGGCAAAGTTCTAGGAGTCTTCCGAGTCTTCATTTTCAAATATACAGACTCCTCAGATTCCGTTTCTTTGGATGTTGCATACCTTTCAATTTTTCAGATTCCTGAGATCCTCCAGATTCTTCTATTTCGTCAAATTTTGCTTTTATTTTAAGGGGGAAAGTTAAATATTAATGGAACTCTGCAGTGATATTTTAATTAGAAAACTTTTAAAGCGAGTTTTTAATTACCCTTACGGTGTACACAATATTTATAATGAAAAACGTTAATGGGCATTTGTGTTTCGGAAAACAATGTTAAACTTTGGAGGCGATTAAGTGCAAAAGTTTGTCAAGACCAACCTAATTATGTTATAAGCATTCTGTCTTTCAACTCTATCTGGTTAATTGAAACCCTGATTGAAACTAAAATCGAATTTTTACTTCTGTAGCATTTTCAACTCAATCAGGTTTGACGCGCGGTTCGTATTAAAAGTAAAACCTAAAACCGATACTGGGCAGTGGACAGTGGACACTATAAAAGGTTGTGGGTCAAAACCTTAGTAAACCCCTGACTTACATAAAAAAAAACCTATACAAAAACCGAGGCAAGAACTTAATTATCTACGAGTAAGTATATTATCTATAAAGTCCGATGTTACAAAATGTGCGGTGTAATTACCCAATTAATTACATCGAATCGATAGTGAATCCCACATTGTACCACCGGACTACGCACTTTAATTCATTAATGCTTGATTTAAAAACGTCGAGCTACGGTCAACCGTCTAGCGTCCAGTAAACCTTTGAATCCTTATTCGTTCTCGTGGGACGTAGATAACGCCTAAGTCTATTCTCGTGTATAGAATTTTGTAAGATTAGGAACTGAAATACCAGAAGATTACCACATTGTGGTTCCCGCAATGAGCTGTACGATTTTAATTGTTTCTCTTATTTCAATATTATTTATTGCATATGGAAAAACCGTAACTTTCCAATTTAATAGCTGCTCCCACATAACTCAAATGAAAAAAAAACGTTTCAGCTGAAAAGGGTACAGGCGAGGATACAAGAAGAGTTGAGTATGAGTAATCGAATGTACAAACAAGAAAGTTACTTACCGGTTAAATCGGGATCGGCTTTCTGAAATTCTTGCTGTAGGCGTTCCCTATTTGACATAATGTGCCCTCTCAGTTCCCTTATCGCCGAGGATTCAACAAGGCCTATTCTCTGTCGAAAGGTAAGACGTTTTGTTTTACCGGTGGCCGCCGTATACTGAACAAAGTGCGTATCAAGTTGTGGTCCCACTAATTTCAGATAAGCTCCTTTGTTCGATCCCAACTCGTAGTAATTTGATGCGGAAAATACTGTTATAACCTGAAATACAGTTCCCTTTACTTTGAAGCCAACAAGATCTCGTCGGCTCTAAGTTCCAACATTTCCATTCCGTTAAAAAAGCTTTTAAACGATTTCCTGTTTACATGGTTAAGAATAGGACAGAAATTTAATACATACTTACTTTATTGTTGTGATTAATTTCATATCCCTCCGGTTTGCATTCATGCGAACGTATTAAGTACAGCATTTTGTTCCGTTTGAGGAACCTCTTTGTTACGTCAGGGCCGAAATACGTTCCGGCTCCTCGTAGTCCATTTGGAATGCATCCATCGCCTGGTTGTGGATCACTCCATAGAATATCAAAAACCTGTAAGGCAAAATAAGATTAAAATTCGATGAAGATCTATTTTCACAAAAGGATGTGACTACATAAATTGCAATTATCTACTTTTAAATTAATTGGGTGCAATTTAGTTGCCGCTCATTAAGCGTTTTGTATATAAAGTTAACATCAAAGTCTCGAGAAGCAAGATCATGATTAAAACTGTAAAACAAACACTGCCTAAAGTATAACTTTGAGTAAGTACACTAAACAGAACGACGCCGCCTTTCTTCATTACCAAAAACAGGATTATGATTAATATCCCTATTTATACAAAGTTTGTGGTTATCCAATTAACAAACAGAATTCGACTAGATAAACACGTTTTTACTTCGACGACGGAATTAGAAATAGTGGTAAAAATAGTAAAACAAATTTATTCAACCTACCTGCTTCCACTCGACTTTATCAATAAGCTCGGCGCCTGGCGCTGTGCTGTCAGTTATTGGAGGGCGCAAGAGGGAAATGTACTAAAAGAGAAACGGAATTAATTAAATTTTAGTTAAACAAGAGCGTAAGCGATGATTACGTTATCGGAACAAAGTCAGCAAGGCTTCTTTGCTTTGCTACCACGAATGAAAAATTGATCAAATCAAATTACTCAAAATCGTGCTCAAAATTGTAATTTGCAGTTTATTTTAATATCTATATAATATATGTTTTACTTTCAAGTAAAATAAATGCGACAAAAAGTCTCTGTATTGGCGATCAATAACCGGAGTTTAGAGAAGTATTGTAAAACAAGTAACGTCTGTAATCAAACATAATTGAGACGTACTTTTCCTGTAACTTTTAAGTTAGAAGGGTATAAGATTTCTCCTATCAAAATTTCGGATCATACCACTCTTTTGCAAAACGTAAATTGAGGTACGAACGAACAAAGTATATCCAATAGCAGTCATTCTTCTTATTTCCGCCAAAATGCTATACAGCTATACGAAGTCATCGCAAAAATGGAATGAATAGACGCTTGTTGCTTTACACCATTCATAATTATTAAAACACAAGAAATTGCGTCACATTAGTTTAATTGCGCTAATTTCTTAATTTGTTGTTAGGAAGCACACACGTTGGCGAAGGATTTAGTTGCCCCTATTGTAAATTTTGATTAGGATTCTTTATATATCAAACGTAAAAACGTTACAGAGCATAAATAAGTGCAGATTACAAATACCACAGCTTTACAACGAAACGTTTTTGAAAGAAGAAACATGAAGAAAGCTCCGTAAAATCTGCCAAATTTTAAAACTATTGCCAAAGGGCTCCCCAAAGATCTCTGGTTTTTTACAAGCAAAAAGTTAGCACTATCATCACGGCGAAACATAAAAGTGGAAACACTTTTTTAAGAGTTTTTTGTAAGATTCCAAACAATCTTCTTCTTGAAATTTTTTGATAATATTAGGAACTATGGTTACAAAATCTTAAAAGTGTTTTTATAAAAATTACGAGGAACTATTAAGCCTTTGAAATCATCTTAGCACCTTCTAACGCGACTTGTTAAATATATTGGTTAAAATCTTTTAAACAATCTTAAATTCCTTGAAATATTAGGAATTCGGGATGTTTTTGGAATTTTAGGAGGAGTATTCGTAGAAAACTTCTTAGAAAAGATCTTTTTGAAACTTTGTAACGTGCCAAAGACACAAGGATAAAGGGAAAAAAACTAAGGCTAATAGGACTAACCTAACCGCTTTACGTTTATATAAGGGGTCACTCATTTTTATTTGATTGGTGGTGAAAAAATGGCCGATTCATACAATTGGTAATATTGGTAACAAAAAAAGAGGACGAAAACATAGGATCTGAAGATATAAGTGTCGGAATTCTTCAAGAAGAATCAATCGGTGTGCGATTGCGCATTCTGGAACTTGAATTACGATAGGAGGATGTACAGGGTCCACGCGTACCTAGGCCTCAAATTTGGGCCCTTTGTACTAGCTGTAAAAAATATTCTGGAATATAGAGTTGGATAATTCGTGTGGCCTAGTCCTTTGGGCGACAGCGATTTCAGAAATTATAAAGAAAATTCGATTATTTACAGTGTCTGAAGCTTTCTACCACATATTACGATTTATTACTAAAGAACAAAGAGAGGCTGCTACTGAGGATACCGAATTTGTTCAATGAAACAAGTGATTTTGTCCTCAAAATTACTTACCTGAAACAGTACTGATTCAGCACACTATATTCAGGTCTATGCGCAAAAGGGATGGGGTACTGCTTAACAAAATACGGCGATTTGTCGGTAACATTGATTGCATGCTCGTAAACGGTCGCTAAACCGGGTTTTTCGGAAAAGACTTCCCCTAATTCTGTCATTAAATTGCCTAACTCAACCTGTTGATCTTTATTTATGATTTGATTGTCCTCCCTTTCCTCCTTACTAAGTTGAATATTACCGATAACTTTAAACGACTCATCTTCGGGTTCCTGTTCCCCTTGCTTTTCCTCTTTTCCTATACATTCCAAAAATTCAACAGTCACTAGCTGTTTGCTTTTAGAAAAAGTGAAGCTACCGTATGAAAAATTGATAATTCCGTTAATCTCCGTCAACCAATTCGATCCAAAAATTATGGGATGTACTAGATTCCTAACCACTAAACAAATAGTCTCCATCGCATGATCATTTAATTCAAATTTAATCAGCACTTGGTGGTGAACTCGACAACTGCGTTCCCCCATCGCTCCTACAACATTAACGCCTGAAACGGGTAATACCGGAACTCCGTTAGGCAGCAAAACTTTTTCAAAGAATTGTTCTGACACGCAAGACAATTCACAGCCGCTATCGATCAATGTGGACACTACCTGACCGCAAATACTGATGCTAACTTTGGGGATTTGGCCCTTTTCTGTAACCTGCTTTTCCGAACTATCTGGAAATATCGCACGCGCGAGAGTTCGCCTCTGTGGGTTCCAATGATTGTGTGATCGCCACATCTTGGTTAGGGTCTTCTTGATATTCTAAAGTTTTAATGCCGTATGATAACCCTTCCCCTTTACTATTCGCCGCCGGGCGGTATGCGGGTTTTGCTTCCGCGTTATTCCTGCCCCTATACTGGTTATTATCGCGATTAAAATTATAGTTAAAATTAGTACCTTTAGGGCTCGTATAGTTATTGTTACTAGCACTCTCTGGCAAACGCCAATTTTTAAACCCTGTCGGTGCCTCTTTGGAAATTGTCTCCGTCCCACCAGTTTTACGATTATCAACTGACTATGAATTACGCCGAAGTTCCGCATCCTCTAGTCTTTGTAACAATTTGTAAGTATCCGAAATTGTCGGATTTCCCATGCTTAAAATGGTTTTTTCTATGTTTGGCGTAAAGTGCGCCGCCAAATCATACACTAATTCCCTATCTGACCACTGCATGTGTAAGTATTTGGCCGAGTGTGCTAACTCTAGAAAGTATGCTGCCATACTAACATTTATATCGCGTTTATATACTCCATTATCAATCCTATACCGAATCTGCCTTTGCGCACCTTCGCCCCAATACTCCGCAATGAATGCTTCTTTAAACTGTCTGTACGTATAGTAACGTTACTGGCAAACACATGTCGCCATTTATGAGCTGCCCCTTTTAAACATCTAACTATGCACCTTAACTTATCCCCCTCACTTACACGGAAATCATCGAAAGCCAACTCTACCTCATCCAGAAAATCCATAGGCGACTCTGAGTCAGTGCCCCCAAAAGTTGGCAAATATTTTTGAAATTTAAACAAATCCATTGGGTTATTTCTGTACGCTGGTTGCGCCACAACGTTTAGGGGTTGTTGGTGGTCAACATAATATTGCAACTTTTCGTTTAACTGCTTAACACCTAAGGATTCAAATTGTTTATTGGGACCAGATATTCGCGTACGCGTGTTTTGTGGTATTCCACTATTTTCCAATGACCAGGCATTTTCAAAAAAATCATTTTCGTATCGTTTCGGTATTGCCCCCGTATTACCGCGACCTCGATCTAACTCTCTACGCGGCCCCCTTCGTTCATAATTATTGCCCCATTCATCATCGTCACCCCCTTCAACACGATTCCCATGCCTTTGAAAATTTGCCTTTTTTTCTTCCCTTCGTTCATCCTGTATTATATTCTTGGGATTATTCCCTTTGCCCTGATCTAAATTATTTAATTGAATTTGACACGGATTTATTGCGGAATGTTCAGGAGTCACCGCCGCCGCCACATATCCCCTTTCATTTTCGCTACTATTTACCCCGTCATCTTTATTTCGATCTTCAAGATCGTCAATCACGTTACGCTTTTGTTTTGAATTTGAACGCAAAATCATGTCCACAAATTTCAAATCTATTCACGTTTTTGACCTTCGTTTCTAATCACCACTGCAGTATCATCAGCCTTATATTGCCCCACGTTGGGCACCAATTGTGATGTATTATCACCGACCTGGTGATAACGCATAAAATTCGGTACACGAATTTGTTTAATTATGTTTAATAGATTTTAGCGTTTTCAATATAAGGCCTAACGATACATTCCTCCAGATACAATTTATATATATAGATAATTGTGAAAAAATACGCCTAATGTTTTTGCTCACTTCCATTTTTTTTAAGTTTTGTTTTCGATTTATTTTTTTATACAGGGTTTGTAATACGGTAATAAATAATATGAAATTAAACGAAAAATAATGATTTTAATACTACCTGTGTATCGCATACAAAAAGTCAAACTAAGCGCCATCTTGTCCGCTATTTTTGAAAAAGTGTAAGTAAAGTTTTTGTATTTCTTTTTTACTTAAGCAGGCACTTTGTAAACAAATTATAATTCTTTTGCTCACTTAAAGTAGAATAAATCAAGAATACTACAAAACGCGGCATTTGGAGCTCTATTTCAGCCGCCATCTTAAATTTTTTTGGCAACACGTATGTGCTACATAAAAATCATCATAATATTTTTGTTTTCAACAAGAAAAAAATGTTTCAGTTAAGTTTTGGACTATCTTGATTTGAACCCTTAGCAGCCAAAATTCGAGGTGGTGACAGGCACAGTCGGATTCAGCAGAGTCCAATTACCCTAAAAACACTTGTCACCAAAATGTCTCAAGATTTGCCGTTAGAACCTTTATAATGCGCTTTACCGAATTTCTCGCCCGGACTATTTGTTTATGTTTTATTCAGAACACACTTTATACAAATGATGACAATTTTTACGACCTTGTTTCTGATTATTTTGCTCTTAGTAACTTTATGTGTACACCATGGAACAGTCTTTTGAGCTTGCGGGTATGTACGCGTACAATATGTTTTAGACATATATGTGACACGAAAGACCCAGCTTGATTTTCAAACGGCCGACAGATTTAGTTATACCGAATGCAAGGGTCGTTGTAAATCCAAACGGAGATTGTGTAAAGTTTTTTTCTGCAAAATGTGCTAAAAGGGCCGTTGCTATAAGCAACAGATTACGTTTTGTAGTAAAATCCAGTGAACATTTTTGCATATGCATGACGGAAGAATTGCTAAATCTGCATTCACGTGACGCATGCGATAGTTTTAATATCGGCCCTTGATAACGTGTCGATGATAGTAACACAAAATGATACGAAGTGCACTTGAGAAGTCTTGACCCGCTGTAAACCCCTATAAAATTCATTTCATACAAGCCACCGAGCACGATCATCCACACTTTTTTTAACAAAACGCCTCTCCTCAATCACACTTGACTTACATTACGTAAGGGCGAGAAGCGTATAGGTCATCCTTATATATGTAATGACCAATTGCATTAATCAACCTTCGGGATGAAATATGTGAATGCGGATGAAATTTGTAGCGGTTTATGTGTGGGAATTTTCAGGAAACTAGTTAGTCGAACCCGGGATACGTAATTTTCTCAAGATTACACATTCTAACAAGGTTAAAAAGAAAAAGAAGGCCCTTCGTCTTTTTTTACGAGATAAATAAGTTAATATTTATAGGACGTTTGATAAGATGCAAAATTAAAAATGCGTTATTCATGCGAATTGAGTTGCAATTTATGGACTACCGCAGTAATCACACAACACTTGAGGAATTCACCCTGATGCCTAATTTATAGATAGTCCACGTACACTCGTAATAAGACACTTATTATTCTATTGGAAACCACGTTTTTGTTCGAAATGCCACGTAGCGACCGAATTTCCAATTTGTAGTACACAAAACATATTCTATTGGAGTTACAATGCGAAATTTGTATGACACCAATTAATAGTCTGCACTAAAAACGGATGCTTTGGTGGTTTTATTCGTTTCAAATAATATTGCTATTGCTTTAAATATAAATCTCTACGTCGAAAACTTTTAATTAATTTTAGTTGACGGGCTGCAGTAGTAACGAATAGTGGAATTCAGGGACTTTATTGACGTCATTGAAGGGTTGAAATTGTGCCCTTCTTTTACCCCGTGTAGAGAATAACCAACACTTTTCGAAAAGGAATATGGGCAAGCTTCTAGTTTCCATTTACTCCATTGTATCCTATCCGGATTCTTTTTTAATCTCAGGTTAAAATGTATGTTGTAAACGATTGGGTATATATTTTACAAAACTAGGACTTTTGGAAATAAACAGCGATAGTTCACGTGCCGGGAAAGCAGGGAAGTTTATCAGAACTTTCGCACCCCGGGCGGTAACTTGGTACAAACCTCTGGAAGCAGTGCCGGTTTAGGAACATTTTCTCCCCTAGGCACAGCCCTTTAAGCGCCCACCCGACACCTAAAAAATCCTTTATTAAAAAATTAGTCTTTAATAGAAAATAAATGGAATAGTATAATTTCACGAAAAATAAATTATTTGCGTTTTTAGATAAGAAAAAATAATAATTTTCTAAAACTGAATCGAAAAAGGTATTTTTAAATAATAAAAAAGTCATAGTTCTCTAAAACATTTTTTTCCTAGCCTTTTGTGAAGCAAATTTATTCAAAATTTCCTCAACATTTATGCGGTCTAATATTGGTGTAGAAACGCAGGAAATGCTAGCAGAAGCAGAGTCAGATTGAAGTGGAAAAAAATGGTCCAACTTAGGCACTTTCTTTAAAACCTCCTCTTGCTTAGTAAGTTTTTTGATAGGGATCATGGAAGTTTTACCAATAGTATTCGCTTTAAAGAAATTATATTACACATTACCTGTATGGGCAAAAGATTATTCTGTATTTAGACTCTTATTTTCAATGAAAATTCAAAACTTCCAGCTATGACTTCATCTAAATTCTTATGTTACGTATACAACATGACTCGATAACTTTGATTACCAAATCCGTCATAAAAAATATCAATGCATATTTTTTATCTCTTATCTGAAGAAGAAAAACACATCGAAGATAGATGAATGTACTTACTGGACCTAGGAAAAAAAGTTCATACATAAATTGTAGAGAATTTTATTCTCCCACTTCTTATAAAGATATTTTATGTGTAAAAGTACTAATTTTTGACTTATATTGAAAAAACGTAAACAAAACCCTGTTTTTTTGTTAATATAAAAAAATAACATATTTCCGGGTCAAAATTTTGGAAGAAATTTTATGGGGGGTAAGTGCTCTATTTTCAAATTCTGTACTTCTCCTTTTTTTTATTTTTACTTCTTTGGAAGTAATATTGATATGTATATCACTAACACTTGAAGACATGATTTTGTAAACGCAGTGCTTAAATCATATAAATAGTAGAAGTAAAAATTAAAGGAGGAGTGCAGAATTTGAAAACAGGGCACTTAATTAATGAAGAAAAACTTCACGTGGTATAATGTTTCACTTAATCCCTTCTGTAATAGGAATTTTATTCATTAAGCTCGAAAAAACGTCATCGCGATTAAACTATAATGTGAATTCAGAATAAAAAGGGCTTTAAGAATATGATGTCGAAATATCAGGGCCGTATTTAAAAAACGAAGTTAATCATGATTGACGAAACGTTGAATTAAAAAATTAA